CCCAGAGGGTGAGAGAGCGCCCAGGTGGCATTGTTCCCTCTGTCTCCCCTCAGGGTCAGTTGGGCCCCACCTCCCTGTGGGCACCAGCTACATCTACCACTTCTCCACCAACTCCAGCACTCGCCTGCAGAGAGCCCCACAGGAGGGAAGTGGCCTTGGCCTTCAAGGGTTGGCCATCCTTGACGTGCTTGGCCCGTGCCAGGTGGCCTTGGGGTGAGTGCCTTTGGGTAACTGGAGATCACGGGGACACAGGGGAAGGCCCAGGGAAAGCCGCAGCCCTTGAATTTGCAGTTTGTCTAGTAAGCAGATGGGAACTTTCTGAGGACTCCAGAGAGGAGCGTGGTCGAGGAGGGCCATTTTGGTTACAGGGGGTGCCTCTGTGGCTCCAGCAAGGCTTGAGGAAGGAGTGCTGAGGGTGTTTCTTGGAGCAAGAAGAGCCACAGGATAGGGATAAGTTGTGCCCTAAGGAAGAGTGAGGGCCAAGTCTGCAAGTCCCAAGTCAAACGGAGTCCAAGCAGTTGAAGGGACAGGCTAGTGTGGAAACACGAGACCCAGGAGGCCTCCAGTCCTGTCCTGGTCTCCTTTCTGCTAGGTGTTGGCTGTGTAGGGCCTGGGACCACAGGCTTGGGTTGAAGGTGCAGTGGTGTTGGTCCTGGCAGAACTGTGGGTTAGACTCACTGAGCAGTTGCAGGTTTCTTGCCATTGAATTTCCCCAAGTTTCCCTTTGTTCTTGTAGATGAAAGTGTTCACTCACTCCCCTCTGTCCTACTTCTGGTGACTGTCACATATTTCTTGGATAAACCCTCCTGTGCCACATAAATGGCCTTTTCATTTGCCCTGAAGGCTTCCCTTGTACTTGTGAAGCATTTTTAAGGGCTGGAGCATGTGCTGATAAGAGTTTCTCAAAATTGCTTTGCTGTGTTTTCATATGGACCACAGAATGAGAATATTTCATGGAGTGGCTGAGTCACCTCTGAATTCCTAAACTGTCCAAAGTGTCTGTGTCCTGGTCAAAGATGCCACTTTTATTAGAACCTTGACATCCATCTAAACACTACCAGGTGTTTATTTCTACAGGACTCATTTTCAAGAAGCAAACTGTGTACCATTGCAATTTTATTCATTTGTTTGTCTTTAGCATTTAAGAAAATGATGTCAAATATTGTCAAGATTATAAAGAACTAGCTTATTTCAAATGATTTCTGGTGAAAATGGAAATTTCACAGCCACATGGGAGGCCAGTCAAGTAAATATATTTTTACTGTAAAAAGTATAAAAATCATAAATACTCAGAACAAGGAGTTTTCACAAACTGAATATACCTGTCTAACCCCCTACCAGAGCAAGAAACAGAGCATATCCCTAGGACCTCTCTCTTCTCCTTGCCCTTTCTCCCAAGGGTACCCCCCTCCTGACTTCTGTCACCAGAGGTCTGCTTTGCCTGTCTTTGAACTTCTCTTTAATGGAGTTAGACAGGTTGTAGTCTTTTGCCTTTGGTTCCCTTTTATTTATTTTTCTTGTGGCAAAATATACATCACATACAGCTTACCATTTTAACCATTTGAAGTGCATAGTGCGTTCATAGTATCATGGAGTCATCATCACCCTCAGTGTATAACACCTTTTTCATCATTCTGCACAGCTCTGTATACATCGTGTGTGTGTGTGTGTGTGTGTATGTAGAATTGAACCCAGGGCCTTTGCACTGAGCTACCTCTCCAGTATCATCTCCCCTTTTGAGACAGGCTCTTGCTAAGTTGCCCATATTGGGTTTGAGCTTGCAATCTTTCTGCCTCAGCCTCCCACAGTGCTAGGATTACAGGGGTGTGTCACCATGCCCAGCTTCTGTACACACTAAACTCTAATTCCCCGCTCTCTTCTTCCCCCAGGCTTTGGTGAGCTCTGCTTTCTTTTCTTTCTTTCTTTTTTTTTTTGTCTTTTTGAGACAGGGTCTCACTATGCAGTTCAGGCTGACCTTGAGCTCACTTTATAGCCTAGGCTGGTCTCGAACTCGCAACGGTCCTCCTGCCTCAGCCTCCCAAGTGCTGGGATTACAGGTGTG